GAAGATTTCTCATTTTAAACTTAAACCCGACCCAATCTCATCTTCTACAAAAATTCGACCCGGATTTAATTTAGAAAGAACAATCCTATTGGATTTAGTTAGATCAGAATCTGGATTAAATTACCACTGGTGGCGGATGCACATAGCATCCACGGTAGGCACGTACTCGCCTTAAAAATTGAATTTTCTCCGATTAGTTATTCATCTTATTAATCATGCATACTCTAAAATTTTATTTATACTCATCTTCAAAAATATTTTCGAATGTGTAACAGATTACCACCCTATTGTATACATTAGTGTTCTAAAAATCATGGAGCGGGAAAATGGCTAATTTCATCTTTCCTTAACAGAAGGTTTTTTTTTTGGTTAGGGGCATAAAATCACATCCACAGTTATGTGTGGAACCATTGTAAGAAAACATACATATTTATAACTAGTGATGGATTTAGGCGGGGCAGTCGGCCTCTCTAAAAATATAAAATTATCACATACGCTTAAGGGTCACTGTTGCTCTTGTAGTAGACTAAATTTATCATTTTTGTCTCTATCGTATTTTTGCATCAATTTAACTCTCAAAGTTGTTTAATTGCATCATTCTATGCCTTTCCCATAACTTAAGACCCTAAATTATAAATCCAAAGTTAGTGTTTAGAGGTAATAGGGTCATGGTTTAGGGTTTATGGATTATAATTTAGGGTTTTAAGTTAGAGATAAGATTATAGAATAATGCAATTGAGCAACTTCGAGGGCTAAATTGGTGCAAAAATAAGATAGGGGCGAAAGTAATAAATTATGTCTACTACAGGGGCAAAAGTTACCATTTTGCCTATTATATATTTTAGATTTTTTTCTATGTATTTTTTATTGAAAATTTGTGTTCGGTTCCTAACTTAAATTCTTGCGTCTTTTAACTCACCATGAAATTTTATTGGCAAACTCGGCAAAAGTGTTTGAATAATGCAATGGAAAAAAATTATTCACTTAGTGCAGTCGAAGAATTATTTGCTTAAGTAGAGTGATTGCTACAGTGACCACCATAGGTCTCCAGGAGCACATGGCGACCTCCATAGCTCTCCAGGAGCACACGGCGACCTATGGAGGACTTGGCGACCTATGGAGCTGCAACAACGAAGGAAGAGGGGAGAGTTGCTGCAACAGAGGAGGCTTTGTCGCAAGGAGCACTTGGCGACCTATGAAGCACTTGGCGACCAATGAGGTAACTGTAGCAAACACCCCAGTTCAAGAGCGAGGAAGCCGGCAAACTCTGCAGTCCAAATGAACCCTGATTAGGACAAGTTTTCCAACAGCATGTGAACTCATGTAGAACCGGCCACCTTCTACTGGTTTGGGTTTAAAGACATTGGGACATGGAACTCATCAGAGTGTCGTCTTAGAATATTAGAGGCTGAGAAAGTGCGACCGCATTGTGATGTATCATCATGATAACCACTCAGTCAATTACGTTTTTGAAGATAATTTATAGTGTTTTGGATTCCAAGTAAGTGGCATCGAATCTCATACCATCGAGTAATCAAAATGACTGGATATGTACATGAAGTTACAATGAGAAGTTACATTAGAAATCACTCATGATTTCCTATATTTTTTAAGTATGTTTCTATGATTCACATTTTAAAGAATAATATCAAATTAAGGTCATGAACCAACAGATAATGCGAGATTAAATCAACCGATTGAATCGAAAATCAATGATTTATCTGATTAAATCGGTAGAATAATATCATATACTTTAACGACATTCTCTATCTTCATCACACAACCACAACTATATTTTAATCCAAATATATATCACACAATTCCCAGTTCCCTCACACTGCCATAAGACCAGAATGGTCCCAAAATTTTAGGGGTATGTGATGACTGAATTGGACAACTCAAACTCTCTTGAGAACCCTTTGTGGATAAAGAAAGATGAAATTAAAGGTGCATGATTCCATCCAACTAAGATATAAAATATGCACTGAATCTTTATATTCTAACCTATAAAAAGATATGTATGAAATGCATGTAGGGGACCTTTCAGATGGTTTATTAACTAAAAAATTAGCTGATCCTATTCCCATATGTAAGGGGTGAGGGAAGGTAAGGTAGTAAACTGCCCCCAACGTCAAGTTGAGAGCAGCTTCCGGGGAAGACCTCCGGCAGTCAGAATTATGAATTGCCCACCGTAGGACTCGATCCCACGACCACAAGGTTAAGAGCCATGCGCTCTAACAACTGAGCTGGTATATGTATAAGCTGCTTAAGGCTCAGGACCACCAGGGCTTACTTTAGGAGCTTTCTTTCATTATAGTTGGGAGACAGGTTGTCTAATTCCTTTTTTAGCTAAAGCCTTTTGGTTTTAGAATGATTTGAATAACTATATAAGAAAAACATGGTTTAATACTAAAGAAGTAGGTCGATTGTCACTCGAGAAGCTTGCTTTGTAAGAGTATGTAATATTATTGTATCTCTTTCGTAAGTCAGAATTTTGTTGTCATTCATTCGTTTATTGACGTTTTTGGAGGAATTCCCATGTTGATCGAAGCTTTTGAAGTTCATGCAAGTCCTTGCAGTTTTTATATTCTTCGATTAATCACAATCTCTTGACATAATCACTGGTAGACATATGTGATCTGTCACTAATGATCATGTCTGAGTCAAATCTACTATCTAACAAACATATTTAACTGTCATATTGACTTACAAATAACTATCTTGACCCTACGCTTAACACTAACCCTAAGAATCAATATATAAGTCAATATGCATGGTTAGAGGGAGGATTTTGAACTGTCTTGCTCTCTTTCGGTCTCTATCTATGAGCTTCTCATTGTATATGATCTTATTCGGTTCATTTGAACCACCGACCACAATTCTTCTTCCATATTAGAATGGGTGAAATTTCGAAATCCGTCGTAAGGATAATATTTCAGACAATACACTTCATTAAATAATTCAAACACAATAATTAAGAAATACATCAATTTACCAAAAGTATTGGGTGCTGTGATAAACCCACATTACCATGCTAAGATAAAAGCCTGAAGCTTGAATATAGGTTTGTAAACCGACTCAACGTTCAGTGAACCGTTCGTGAACTGTTCGACGGGAGGTTCGTTTATTTATTAAAAGAACGAACATGAACAAGATTTTGTGTTTGTTTAATTAAATAAACGAACATGAACAGATGACTCGTTCGTTCATTTACGTTCGTGAAAGTTCAGTAATATGTTCGTTTATGTTCATTCATTTATGATCGTTCGTTTATGTGTATTCATTCATGTTTAGTCTAATTTCTCTAAACTCATTTAAAATATTAAAGTCCAATAAATTTTAATTTGATACCCATAAAAATTTTAAAATTCAATTAATTTTAAATAAAAATAAAAAAGCTAAAAACAATTAAATAAAATATAATCCTAAAAATGTTAGTAAAGAAAAAAAATCTATTTTCATTTATGTTTGGTTACATTCGTTTATGTTCATTTATTGTGTTCGTTTACGTTCGTTCGTTTGTGTTCGCTTACGTTCCTTTATTGTGTTCGTTTATATTCGTTTACATCCGTTCGTTTATGTTTGTTCATTTGTGTTCGTTTATCATTTAAATGAACGAACACGAACAATAAATTTTTTGTTCGTTTATATTCGTGTTCATTCATTTGTCCGGTTAAAGTTAAACGAACGAACTTGAACATACTCCCGTTCGTTCAGTTCGTTTACATGCCTACTTGAATATTATATTATTAGCAAGAACAATTATGAACTCCTCATAAATTTCTACTTTGAACTATAATTTAGAATAGTAAAGTAAGATCCATATCAAGCTTGGGCCTTGGGGCAAATACCATAAACCCAAAAAAACCCAGAAAAAGCATTGCCATTAAACTCTTAGTTTGTTGGTAATTTGTTATTTTATTAGGAGAAATTATTTTTTTTCACCACGTTATCAATGGTCCTAACCAAATAAAAATAGTCACATCAATAATTTTTTACATTTCATTTATACATATGGCGTTATTTTAATTATTCGATTGGAAAGAAAAACAATGGAGTAAGATAAAGAAGATTGTTTTGGTGAAGAAGAAAAGGGTATTAATGAAGTTTCTAAAAATAATTCTAATTTTATTTTAATATGTATTAATGACTAAGTTGATATGGAAAATAAAATCCATATGTATAAATGAAATGTAAAAAATAAATTGACGTGACTATTTTTAATTGATTGGGACCACTGATGACATGGTGGAAATGATCCACAAAAATAATTTCTCTTTTATGTGTCAAGTTGAGCTTAAATAATCAGGGCTGGGACTAGGACGTTGGAGGCCCTGTGCAAATTCTTAAAAAGAGACCCTTAAATTCTTATAAAGAGACCCTTAGTAAAAATTGCAAAGCTTGAATGTAGTATATATAGAGAGATTGATGATATTACTAACCAAATCCTAACGGTGTGAGATAGGAAGATCATGAAGATGAGCTCATTTATCGTAAAGTGGTGTTAGACCCAAAAAAATGAAATTTTTATTGTAATAAATCTATTTTTTTGGGCCCTTGCTATTCCGGGCCCTGTTCGGTCGCACAACTTGTGCTCCCTCTAGCCCCGCCTCTGTAAATAATAAAAGTTTTAGCTCGAAATTCGTTGCTCAAACCAAAAAAGTCCAATTGATAAAATTATACTTAACATTACGTTTTAGTTTTATTTTGATTACTCACTATTAAAAAATAATTGAATTATTGACGTGACATTGTTTTTTTTAATGATACATGTCATTATATTATAATGTCACATTAATATCATCATTAATTTTTTAACAGCAGGTGATCAAAATAAAATAAAAAAGTAATGTTATATGATTTTAAAACAAAAAATAATTAGATGATCAAATGGAATAACTATGGTTGAGATAGTAATATACAACCGATTTATTATTATAAGTAAAATGGTATAGGAGACTGTATTGTCGACCGTACGCTTGTTATCATCTATCATCTATATGCCACCGCATGATATCGTTGATTCGGTCAACGACGCGCCTTCATTATTTTCTTCAAGGTTGGATCACTTAAGAAGGCAAGCAGTTCAAGAATTGGCGACCCCTTCGTTAAGTACACCTGTCAATTTGACTTTGTGGCCTGATCTTGCCGGTATGAGTTCAAACGAGCAACTCCGGAATTGCAGCAATGGATCAAACATTAGGCCTGACAGTCATGATTTGCCCTTTTCTGTTAGAGACGAGGATAATGTTTCGATGGCCAAGGGACAATTGCACGCAATGGTTAGGAGCCATTTGAAAGCCTTTTCAAACAGTATCGATTTAGGTAAGTCGAGCTCTGTCTTGAATCTATTGTTAGTGAATGATTTGTGCAAGTGGCTTCAGTAATTGAGTTCTATCTTGTGTTTTTGGAGACTTTTCAAAGCCTTCTATATGTATATGCAGACAACGGTACTCTTAAGGTCATAGCAACGAGTTCCATGCATACCATACTGGCTGCTTGTAGGCTTGAGCATATAGGAGTAGCGAGGCTCAAACCGTGCCTCCATCGTCAAATTGTGTGCACATTGAAAGAGTGGCAGCTGGACAAGCGAGCTTAATGAAAGGTTGTTGCTTAACTTGTTTCGATTATTTTGTAAAAGATGTAGTGAAGAGGATCATGGATGCTAGATCACAACGGTGGTTAAGTTTAGGTCTTTAGACCTTCGATGTGGTAAATGTATCTCTCTGCGTATTTTTAGCTTTTCAAGTAGGATTTAGAAGCAGATTTAAAACACCAACATTTTTTCAGTTGATTTATACTTACAATTCACTGACATGGAGCCCAAAATGTGCTATTTTCTCATTTGATCACCATAATAGATTGTTTAGCAGGGCAAGGTCATTTTTCTGTACTGCATTCTACTTGCATTTAGTGCTCATCTTCTCTAGAAAAAAAGAGAGGCTTGGTCTACGTGTACGCTTTCGATTTTGCATCTAGTTTGTGCAGGTAAGTAAGCCACTCATGCCACAGCTCAGGGAGCCATTTATGCACACCGTTCTACATCCAGAAACTTTGACGGACTATTCCGTATGCTGTGATTGCCTTTGTTATTCGGATGAATAAGGATATAGGGAAAATGAGGAGCTTGATTTTGTATATGCTACTTGAAAACAAACACCGTTCTAGAATTTAAATTTATTTTTCTTATTAGATATGATCATGAGAAAAGAAGCGGAAATCTGATCAGGCCCTAATAAACTAAAGAGTCCACATATGCTACATATATTACACTCATCCCTACACCTTATTCCAACATTATAAGACATCAACATATTCAGTGCATACATCAATAAAAACCCATAGAGCTTAGCAGTTGGCCCTCTTCGCCGTTAACCGGACGCTGTAAGGGATTCGAGTCCACAATTGCAGCCAACCATCCTTATGGCATGACAAGATAACCGAATGCCGGTAAGGGATTCGAGTCTACAATTGCAGCCATCCATCCTTATGACATCATAAGATAGCATTGAGAATCATGGATAACAGCAGCCCTCGAACGAATTCACATATTTTTGCCTTCTCTTCCTGATCTTTGAATGAAAATGGAGTTGACTACACATTTCTGTATCAAAGCCAAATATTAGAAGAGAAGGCTGATACAAACTTTAGGAAAAGTTCATTGCCAGAGGAGAAATCCAATACTAGATCATCATCAGTCTCATTGGAATAAGGTAGCAGTACCGATGCAGATGAGAAAGAATAAACACTAACCGAAAACTGAGACACTCAGCCTAATGACTAATTATTAAACCATTCATATTAGTAATATGGTAAGGCAGATGTACAATTTTACACTAGCATAAAGTTTTATAGTATGCCCCAACTATCCTGCTTAAATAACCGACCAATATGCGGAACTTTTGAAGAGAGGCCAATAAAGGCCGTGTACAGAGATGGAGTCCTTGACTAAAGATATAGGATAAAATCAGTAGTTCGAACCAGCAGGTAGAGATCGAGATCAATGGCAAAAGAGGTCAATCTGCTTAGTTTTTGCTTTAACAAGTGTAATTTTAAGAGATGAATGAATCCTCAAGCACATGACAGCGCTGAACATCTAGTTCTATTTTCTTGGGAGGCATAATAAGTATTTGCATTTCAATATTAATAAAATAAAGTCATTGCATGCTAATAAATTAAATGTATGTTGAATTCACCTCCTTTTCTCAAAGAATGGCATGGTAGATGGATTCTTAGTTGTGCTTGTTTCGCTAGAAAACTGAGGCTGAACACTAACACGATCATCAACCATGGGCAAAATAAACGAAGGTAACAATGGATCAGGTGCGGAGTTGGATGAGGGTGCTATACAAGAAGAACCCCCAAAGAGGGATTACATGTTTCCTTCTTGCAGCGCCTTCCTCAGAAGATAAAGTGTTGAATGTGATCCACTTCTAAGCGATTTCCGTTTGCGCTGCATGTAACCACTCGCTAAGGAAATGAAGATATATGAATCAAGTCCTAACAATGGCACAACTGTCGTACAACTAAGGCCACAAATAAAGGTAGGAATGCTGCTACTGTTCCACAATACTGGAATGGGGGCAGAGGAGTCTTCTTGCACACCAAAGGTGATAGATTTTCTGGTAAGATTGAGATCCAATGGTAAAATTCTACAAAATTTAGCAGACTCCAACATGATTTCCAGGTAGATGTCACACAAAATAAGCAACGGATTTAAACAACTTGACTATGAATTTCAAAGATATTTCAACATAAACAATAGTAACTTGATACGCAGGGACACCTTGAATATATTTCCATGTTGTAAGGTTATGTGTGCAACCATATCTACTCCCACCCTCAATGCACAGACAGGACATACCTGCAAATAGAAGCAAGTCAAGCAACCCATCATCAACCGAGTTTAGATTCGGTAAACATCTTCCCAATTATAATAAAAAGCTCTCACACCGATCATTATCAACATAAGAATCTATAAACGATAACTATAAAACTCCTTTACATCAAACTTACATATAGAAGACCAATCTACTATTTGTCAAGCCCGGCCAGGATTAATATAAAATGTGTAAATCAACAACTTGCAGCTTAAAACTTCATATTATAAATAGTTAGCTGAATTGGAGCTTGTAGTCTAAACTAGTTCACATTATAACTATTACAAGAGCCATTTAAATAAAATAGTAACTTTTGAAGCAAAAGCTTAAAACTTCGACAACTTGGATCTATAACAAACAACTCCCTTTCCAATTCCTTTCAATTCGACTGATAATAATTCACAGCTTAACTCAGTTAAGTAAGCTTTGAATAATTCTTAAAATAGAAGTACTAACAAGATAAACTTGCTAATAAGTTGGCAAATATCAAAATTAAAGAAAAGGGGGGAAAAGGATTGAGAAATACCCCATTTTTTGCTTCCACGGGATGCTCATCATCAATGTGACAGCACAAGCCGACGATATCGAAATACTCTGAACAAAAAGGGCATGGGAATTCCTCTCTTATATCATCTTCTCCATCCATTTCTTCAAACCCCATAAGCATATCTGCATTTTCAACCCATTTCCAAACATTAAATCAACTCTTTTAGAAGGCAAAAAAAGAATCTAGTAAAAAGACTAATATTTTCTTAAAAGGTTTCCAAGTTTTTTTTTTTTGAATGGATTTTAAGGCCTACCAGATCGTGATTGAAGAGCTGATTGATGATGATACCTCCTAGTGGTTGAAGAAAGACAAGCAGCCCATTAATCAACATCCATTTTTAAATCAGTTAATTTTCAACCCAGAGATTAAGAAAAAAGAAATATTGAATTTATGGGGTAAAAAATCAAATCTTTTATGCTCTGATCTTGGTTTTGTGAAGTTCAATTAAGAAAGGCAAGTTAGGTCTTTGGGGGTTGATATTTGAGAAAGAGAAGCAGCTACTTTTTTACGTGGAGATGGAAATAGTAAAGGTTATTAGGGAATAGAATTACTGGAAATGTTGTATTTTGTGTTTTGGTTGGTTTAGTAAGAATGTAAGATTACCGTGTTTGGTTAAAGGAATACAAGATTATTGAAATGTATATTTGACTAAATTGTCCTTATTATATATTTGTATAATATTATAAATTGTAAAATATTTATATATTTTCTTTAAAAAAATTAAATTCATAATATTTATATAATTTTTTTACAAAATTAAAAATATAAAAAAGGTTTAATGAAAGAGTAAAAAAAAATTTTAACCCTTGAACTTCATATAAAATTTTAATTATAGATTTTTTTGTAAATCTAAAATAATTTAAGGATAAATTTGTAATTTAACTTTCGTAGAATTTTTATTATTCAATGACAGAAGAAAGATATTTTTGAAAAAAATAAAAATTTAAGGGTATTTTAGTTCAAAACGCCAGTAATGTTACAATACCTAAGAGAAGGGAGATAATGACATTCCCAGTAATATACCCCAAAAAATCTACTATTGGTAATAAAACATTACCGGGAATGAGATTCCCAGCCAACCAAACATGGGAATGTGGGATTCTCATCCCATGGGAATCCCACAATCTTTGAATCAAACACCCCCTAAGTGTTAGCGCTTATGGGTAATCTGCTCTACGACGTAATTAATATACGAAAATATCGCATAAAAATATTAATATTTTTTTAATATTTTTAATAAAATATTATTTTTTTTACCGAAAATGTTAATTTTTTTACCTAATTTCTTTTAATAAAAAATAACATTTTAGGTAGTGCCGATATAATATTTTCAATAAAAAAATAATGTTTTTTCTTTAGTTATATATTAAGATTGTCGTACTTGAGATATCTCCGCTTTTATATATAAAAAAAGAATCTTAATTTATTTATCTTTAGGCTTTATTTTAATTTATGAGTATATCAATATCTAATAAAATTAAAATTAAATTATTTTACTTTCTCACGAATAAACTTAATTCGATAATTGAAAAAATAATTATTATTCCTAGAGGTAAAAGGTTCAAGCATTAGTGATTGCAGAAGTGTGATTAAGCATTACTTGTCAAATAGTTGAGAATATTTAAAATAAATACTACTTTGTAATCATCTTAGCTTAATCAAAAAAATATTTTATTTTATATTTTTAATTATAATTGGCCTTTCTATTTTTATAATAATATCAATAAGTATATATTATCAATAATTTAGAATAAAAACAATAAAATGATCTCAGAGATAAAAAAATATTATTTTTTCTAGAGGTATTAAATTAAAGCAATTACATTTATAAAATATACGTGTATTGTTAATAAATATTTTTTGAACAAAAATTAGTAAATTACATTATAATCGTTTTAAACAATTCAAAAAATAATATTTAATATATATATATATATATATATTTTACATTATTTGAAATTAATAAGTTTTAATATAATAATAAATGTTAAAACTATACTCAAAATTGATTTTTTTGTGTCTAAAATTTTTTTCGTTAAAAATAAATGTTTAATTTTTCTCAGTTACACTTTTAGGTGTCTATTGTTAAAAAAATGATTAAGTGACATGTCATATTTGTACTTATTTTTTAAAAATAAAATATTATTTAAAAATATTTTAAAAAAATCTAGACGTGATACATGTCACTTAACTTTTTTTAACGGTAGATACCTAAAAGTGTAACGAAAAAACATTAAGCATTTGTTTTTTAAAAAATTCTTTAGACACCAAAAGTCAATTTAGAGTATAGTTTGAACACTTAATTTTATATTAAACTAATTAATAAAAATTAAATTATTTTTAAAAAAGAACCAAATTGTCAAATTTTAAAAATTTAAAAGGTCTAAAAGGGCCTTTTTTTACTATTTTAATCATAATTATTTGTTCAGATAATTTTTTGTTGAACATTAGTAGATCATGAAATTGAAATGTTGGTGAATTGAAGGATATATATATATATATATATATATATATATATATATATATATATATGGTTAATATCACTCACATAAGGTAAATTTTTTTAGTTTTACGTAGATTTAGGACCGTTAAATAAGTGAAAATATATAGTTGAGATTAATTCCTTTTTTGCAGTGAATATCTTTTCATTTCCTACTGTTAACTTCAACAATCTATTTTTACTCATCCAACGGTCTTAATTTTGTGTAAAACTAAAAGAGTTTAACATTGTGTATCATGATGATATCTCATATATATATATATTCAATTTCTCAAATTTTCTATATTCAATTGCTCAAATTTTCTGTAGGGGATGATAATTCTCTATCATCCAAATTTTGAACTAAAATGTGATTAACTTCACTAATAAATCAAAGTTGTAATTTAGAGCCTAATAATATGATATAAATTCTCAAAAAATAAAATAAAATAAAAATCAATGCGCACCTTATCATTTCTTCCCCGGCACGTGACTCGGCCGTTGTTCAACCGTCTCCTTAACGGTCAATCGCCGGCCTCCGGTCACGTGGCCACAGAACTCGTTTTTGCTCCGCCATGAGAATTTCATCAAATTTAGACTTCTAAATTCTAAATCTGAATCTGTATTTAGATTTTAAAAAAAAATGGCTGTCCCTTTTCCCTGTATTTAGATTTAAACATTTTGGATAATATCTAAATTTCGTTTTTAGAGAGCAATGGCGACGAGGAACCGGTCGTGGTTATTCAATAAATATAGGGATGCGTTGAAGGGCGCTAGACTTCCGACGAGCTCGTCGACGGCGAATCTGAGGCCGAGATCCGGTGGAGCGCCGGCGATTGAGATGGCTAGCACTTCGTTGCTCCATTCAAAGCGGTCTTATACTGCTCTGAGTACCGATGATCCTGGAAACTCGAGGTAATATTGCATTTCAAACTGTCGTTATAGATCATATTTATTTTCCTGTTAATTTGTAAATATAAGATGAAGAATTCAAGATCACGATCAATTTTTTCTTCTTCTTTTAATTCTGCTTGAACTTATTCAGATATAAATTAGTTAGCTTAATGGTCATAAATTATTAGGAGGACAATAAAGGATCGTCTACGTTTTGCAGTAAGGGTACAGCCCCCATCGGTCTACCACCGTCTTGGGTAGATGTTTCCGGAGAAATAGCAACTAATGTGCAACGTGCGCGGGCTAAAATGGCCGAGTTAGGCAAGGCTCATGCAAAGGCTTTAATGCCTTCATTTGGTGATGGTAAAGAAGATCAACGCAATATTGAGAATCTTACTAGTAAGATAACCAATCTGTTGAAGAGATCGGAGAAGAGATTACAGAAACTCTCTGCTACCGGACCTTCTGAGGATTCAAATGTCAGGAAAAATGTTCAGGTAAGGCTTAGCGGCTATCAAATTCATTTTTGAATTGTGAAGCTCAATGTTCAGGTCAAGAAATGTAAATCATTTAGGCAAGTATTCGTATGACACTTATCCATTTAGCATGGCAATTCTTTCTTGCTGCTTGACGATTTGTCTATTGCCTATTGGCCTAAATTTTACTAGTAGCAGGCTTTGGAAAGGATGATATTATCATATGATGCAGTGTCAAGTGCTCCCTATCTCTATCACCTTTGTTGTCATCTTTTAGTTATCTAGCCTATACACCTGTGTTGTTGGAATGTGAAAGATACTAGTGTCTAACATCTGGTGTTATTCTTTGGTTCTCCATGGGATCTGACATTTTACCTCAGTTGTTAATCTCTCAAAAGATGTTTTATTCTGGATTTTGCTTTTGTTTTAATTTCTTTCTTTCACTGCTTTTCTTCTTTTTGGCAGCGTCAACTTGCCACTGACCTTCAGAAGCTTTCAGTGGAGCTTCGGAAGAAACAATCAACTTATTTAAAGCGCCTCAGGCAGCAGATGGAGGTAATGGAAGAAACTTTCCGGTAGGCAATACAACATGTTATCGTATTTTATTGCATTCTGAATTCTAATTAGTCGAACGATTTAAACTTATTGCTTTACGTTTTCAGTGTAATTAATTTTGGTTTCTTGTGTATGATCAGGAAGGAGCTGATATGGAGATGAATCTAAATGGGAATAGATCTAAAGAAGAAGATGATGATTGGGATGATATGGTATTTCTTTAAACCATCTCCTGCTCATGTTTCCATTATATGATCTATCCTAACTCATTTCAGTAAAGATGAGTTTTAGGGTGCTAAGCCCAAATATCATGTTAGGGTCTTGGAGCTCAATTGTATTTTGTATATCGAGATATTAGGTCTTATATTTGATTTCAGTTAGGTGTCAGATTCTAATCTTTCACAGTTATGTTATTTAGATGTTTAATGAGCATCAGATGGCAAAGCTAAAACAAAGTGAGGTGTATACAGTTGAGAGGGAAAGGGAGATCCAACAGGCAAGTATTGCATTACTCGCAATACGTTTCTTATCTCAGCTGCTTTCATAGCTATCAGGTGCTATTTATTTATATGTACTTAAATTCTTTTTTGTAGATTGTGGAGTCAGTAAATGAGCTTGCTCAGATTATGAAGGATCTATCAGTTCTCGTAATTGATCAGGTCGGATTACATCAGCTCTTGGTAATAGGTTCTGACCTTTTCCGGTATTACTAAATGTACCTCTCTCTTCAAACAGGGCACAATTATCGATTGGATCGACTACAACATTCTGAATGTTGCAACCACAGTTGAAGAAGGCCTCAAACAGCCACAGAAGGTCCTTTCTCTTTTGTCCAAATATCGATCCGAATTCAGCTGTTTCCCGTGACTCTTTCTCATTCTTGTATGGATTGGACTTTGCAGGCAGAGAGAACACAGAAACAAGGAGGAATGGTGATGTGTGCTTCAGTACTTGTTGTCATGTGCTTTGTCATGCTAGTCCTCTTAATCCTCAAGGAGATATTCTTTTGATATGCAAGCATGGCTTTTCATGACCATGTCCATTTTGACCCGTGGTGTGAGCCGACACGATATGTCCAAAGCCGACATTGTCCTCGGCCAGCTGAAGAATGTGGGGAAAAGATGTCCCAGCGTCCGTATAGAGCTTATGATGGATTCTTTTTCCTTGAAGCTAAGAGCTGCATTCTTTTGATTTGACAAAGAAAGATGAATTGTTTTAGGGTCGTTCGGGAGTTTTCTAGCTAGTTTCCCATTGAGTTGATTTACTCGTTTCAATTTCTATTGATTTGATTAAGAAGATTACATATTATATAAAAATCCTACATATATGCCCCCCTCAAATCGAATTTGATTTGATTTCGTAGCTCGGTTGCTTAGAGCACCCGTTTAGTAAGCAGGAGGTATTGAGTTTGACTCTGAACGAAAGCAATTTATTTATATTTTCAATATTATCATTTTACGCCATTGGACATTGCCTTTTATATGCTAACTTTCTCTATGTTTTGCAGCTTGTAATACCTGGGTGCCTGTAAAAGCCAAAGAATCGATGATTTTGGGTCAGAATAACTCACAGTTCAGACTCTCAGATTCTAACAGCAAATAGTGTACCGTAAGAAAGGCGATGGCGTGCCCGACATGCATTAGTTAAGAATTCATCATGTGAACGAATAAGAGGTACCGATGTAGGAAGTGCAGGCTTAACCAGAACAACAAATAAAGGATACTCAGCGCGTTAATAAAATAATAAACAAAAGTTACTTTCAAAGGTGATTAGGCTATGTTGCTTCTACAAGAAGAGGGTATGCAAGGAGACTGTGGTTGCATTTCTTATTTTCTTTTCATTGTCACTCCTTGTTTTCAGGTTACAAGAGCATCAGGAAATTGAGATGACATGGGGAGGTGATAAAAGAATCCTTCGGAACTAAAGGATGAATGTGTTATTTACATTTAACATCGGGTATGAGAATACAATGTGTTGCTCATGACTGATCATAGTTAACCATGCCGAAAATAGTAAAGATCATTCGAGTGGGACTAATATATATATATATATATATATATTTGAAAGTTAAGGTGATTACAAAATAATATCTATTCTAAATACTTTCAATCATTTTTGACAATAAATGCTCAGTCGCCCTACTGCAGTTGTTGGGACTCATATTTCAAGGGTTGCTTTAAGTAATTAGCACATAGCCAATGTTTACAATTATATGCAAAATGTAAAAGACTTTTAGGAATCCTAAGATTCGCAATTCATAAACTGTGCATTTTGTTCCGTTTATAGGGTCATGACAATAGCCAAGAACAAGCTTGAAATTCTATTGATTTGACTAAAAATATGACATAGATCCAGTTTGTTATATAGGAATCCTAGCTAGATTTCCCCCCTCAAATTTGATATGGGGTGTGCAAATTCGGGTATCTATTTTTTGGGTATCTGATTATCGGGTACGTGCAACATTTAAGTCAGTGATTTCTCGGCTCGTGTCCCGACCCGAATGTTGCCGATACCTGGTAATCAGGTATCTAGATTTTGCAGGTACCCAGTCTTTTTTTCATTTTCAAATTATTAATTTTTAAAAATATATATACAAATTTAAATGTTCGAAACTTCGAATTACATACTCCAACATCCGAATATAAAATTTAAAAGTTCGAAATACAAAATCTAATAATTCATAATATAAATAATTCATTATATTTTATATATATATAAACTAAACGGGTACTCGGGTAACCTAGTACCCAAAAACTTTAATTTTGTGACCCATGCCCGATCCGGCAGGGTAAATGTTTTTAGAAAATTATCTAATTTTTATAGGTCCGGATCGGCGGGTCGGATAGTTTTGCACACTCCTAATCACAAGGTTTACATTAGATTTTTGGTATTGGAGGTTGGGAAATTGGGATCAATTTTAACTGTTACTATATTTAATGAATTTATAAACTTTTGAAGAAAACTGTAGCATCTGCTTTCGTAGCTCAGTTGGTTAGAGCACCCGTTTAGTAAGCGGGAGGTCTTGAGTTCAACTCTCAACGAAAGCAGTTCATATTTTTTTCAGTATTATATTATGTCCTACACCCTTTGTCATGCCTTTTACCTGGTAACTTTCTCTATGTTTTGCAGCATGCATGTGCAGCAAAATGTTTCTTATTTGATGCTTTCATCGGCTTCCAACTGCACCTCGAAACTTGTAACAGTGCATGGACTGAAAAAAGATCGAGGTCGATGCACTAGATAAAGCATATGGTGTTGGTTCAGGCCTCAAACTCGAACATGATTCAGCACTTAATTCCATAGCCTTTTCACCAATTTTAAAGTGATCATGAAACCAAAAATTCACGTTAAAGCTTGAAGTTACACAGCTCACAAAAATATATGAAACCAAGACAAAATGTCTTTGAACTCATCACATGTAACGAGCCGACCAATCCCCGGGCGATATGAAGCATAGAGGTTAAGAGGATGGCTAGAATGAAAAAGGGTGTTGTATCTCGAATGGCAATTTAGCACATTTTTCATGTAGGTAAAACTCAAGACGTGTTTTACTTAAGTAGCTATAGGACCATTAAATACCAGACGACGACCGTAGCAAAATGTGTGCTTCAGTACTTGTTATCATTTGCTTTGCCAATTGCCATGCTAATCCTCTTAATCCTCAAGGAGATAATCTTTTGATATGCAAGCATGGCTTTTCATGACCATGTCCATTTTGACCCGCGGTGTGAGCCGTTGACACCGACATGTACATAGTCGACATTTTCCTTGGCCAGCTGAAGACTGGGGGGGAAAAGATGTCTAACATCTGTATAGAGCTTATGATGGATTCTTTTTCCTTGAAGCTAAGAGCTGTGTTATTTTGATTTGACAGGAAAATGAATTGTTTTAGGGTCTTTTGGAAGTTTTCCAGCTAGTTCCCCATATGAGGAGTTGATTTATTTGAATCAAATTCCAATGATTTGACTAAGAAGATTACATAAATCCACTTTTTTATTTAAGAACACTATATGTATTTTCCCCTTAACTTCGGCATCATAAGGTTGGCATTAGATTTTAGGTATTGGAGGTTGGGAGCTTGGGAATAATTATAACTGTTATTTTGTTTAAAAACTATAAAATTGTTAACAAAATAGGGGGCATCTGCTCTCGTAGCTCAGTTGGTTAGTGCACCCGTTTAGTAAGCGGGAGGTCTTGAGTTCGACTCTCAACGAGAGCAAATAATTTTTTTCCGATATAATTTTTGGACCGGCTTCTCAGTACACCTCGTAGCTTCAACAATGTATGGATTCATTCGTCGATGCCTTTTATCTGGCAACTTTCTCAATGTTTTGCAGCATGTAATGCTCTTATCTCATTTGATGCTTTCATAAGATGGAGGACACACCAGATAAAGCCATATGGTGTTGGCTCAGGCAGGCTTTGAACTCCCAACATGATCCACCACTTTGCCCGGACTCTTCCCTACCACAATCTTACAGGTTCACTGCAACCATGCTTTAGCACCGCAGTGGTGCAGGACCTTGACGATCAACACCAACGATTCACGTCTCAAATGAAATATATCTGCATGAAGTTGTACTTGTCAATACAATATTAAACCTACAAGGATTTGGTTTATATGGCTCGTTCTTTGTTTGCTCCATACTGTTGGGTTTTATGAAAAGATTGATTATGGCAGCAATGACCCCATTAGTATTTAACGAAGAGCTCGGAGAGGAAAGTACAGATGTCGAAGCTGATCAAGAGAGATTCCGACGTTGAATATCAAATCTGTGTCAACCGGTGCTCGAGCCATAGTCATAACCTCTATATTATTCTTGTAATATATCTTATAATTAATTATATATGTATATTTACAATTTAAATTAAATCATAAATATATATAAATTTAAAATATAATTAATTATCTTATATATCCTTATAATATTTATAGTTTCAATACTTTTTTTATTCCAAATGATTATGATAGGCAACTTTTTTTACCCATAAAATGAAAGAAATTAACCCTAAAACTAAATTTTCCACGCGTCAGCACGAGAACTGTTCATTTTAGCCGCATTGCCTTTAGATGCTGTGACACGTGTTCTCTTACTCACCGTTGGATCGGGGTTCTTGTCATCTCCGCCGACCATTTCTGTAAACATCCTTTGCAAATCCTCGAAACTATCCCCCTACGGTTTTCCAAAAAGGCCATCCCAAAATATCTAGGTCAGTCCATTAGAATCATAATTACGAAATATAACCTTGTTAAAGTAATAAACCAAGGGCTAACCTCGTCTTTCACATTATTCATCATTGATATCATCTCCTGCATAAAGTCACAGAAGTCCTGCTTCGCAAATTTAACAAAGTTCAGGGACGAAAATTGAAAATGAAACAGTAAAACACGTTTAAAATACGGAACTAATAAAAAAGTTTAAAATAATTGATATTTTTCCAAGCCAATCGTTTCACCGATCACAAAGTATAAACCTACACCGTTTTATATGCACAAAGGAAGATATTTTTTTGGGTAAACTACACGGGAGACCACCAAACTATGGTCATAAATCAATCTTGCCACCGAGCTATTTTTTATCTCAATTCGACCACCAAACTTTTTAATTGAATCAATCAGACCACTTTCCGTTAAAAAAATGAATTTGCTCCGTTAATAAAAATAGCATAATTATATATTTGGTATTTAATATTTACATATTCTATCAATTTAGTCACTATTTTAATTTAATTAAATAAATTTAACTATCCAATTAAAACGTGACACATGTCAATATATGATTGGAAGGTTTTATTTATAAATTTTAAATTATTTAATTAAATTTTTTAACCAATCAGGTGGTGACACGTGTCACTACCCCGATTGAAATGGAAAATTGAACAAACTAATTTGCGCCCAAAGGGATTATAACCTGTGCCTTTAGGATAGAGTAACTAAATGCCCAAACCACTAGGCCAAAGCTCTCTAATGGTTCTAACATACAACAATTTGTATTTAACTTGTAAAAGT